GTTATGGGGGTTGAAAGTTGATTATTTTGACAATTTTCATACACTATAATTCAAATAAAATTCAATAAAAAAAATATTTTCAAGCGGGTGGAGGTGGGGGATCGAAAGAGGGTGGTCACTTGAACAAAACCCGATAACCTAACCTAACCTACTCTATTGATAAAGATATTTAAATAATGTTTTATATAACTTTCTCAGTATTTTTATGTATTTTTCATTAGTTTTAGTTTTGAATATTGTTTCAGAATTGGCATATTTATTAACTTTGAACCCCCATAACTTTTTATGGGGGTGAGACCGCCAAGAACTTTTTATGGTACAGTGGTTGGGGGAGACATCCTTTTTCGATCCCCCCACCCTCACCCCCGAAGGTGGTGGGGGCCATCATCTAGACCTTTATCACTGTTTTTTTAAATCATCTAGGAACTTTTTAGCCTGTATTTATATTTTGCCATCTATCCTCTACCCTACTACGACTAAAAACGATGTTTAAATTTTTGGAATGTTGGAAGAACCTATTCATTGCCAGCTAATAAAAAAGTGGAACAATTATAAATTAAATATGAAAGTAGGAAAAGAAGAACGAAGTCAAATGGGAGATTTGACAAAATATGTCCATGTATTGACTCAGATAAGAGGGCGCGCTGGGGTTCCATTTGCATTGAATTTAGTATCATAAATACATGCGAGTAAGTAAATATTTATGACCAATTTCCATAGAGAGCATGGAGTCTGGAAGGAGAAACATCCCTATACTTTTAGACGCGATATACGGGTCACTAATTCAATACCGTACAGTACCGCTTATAGTTAAGAGGCTAGAATGAATTATTAAAAAATCAGGAGTTAAGAGTTGAACTCCCATGCAAAAGTGAATCCTGCCGTGGTGGTTGTTAAGTTGGGCATATATACTTATTATTTATAAAGTTGGTCTATATGGCAAATGTCCCTTGCATTCATATTTTTGTACATCTTTTGTCACTGAATTATTCGTTTTATGAAGATGTTCTTACACAAATTTTACCAATGAGAAAGCCGCATCCCTCTTAACAATCTCATCCTCTTGCGCTTATAAGTAAGTACAACTGTACAACAATATTAAATTACAATGATTTTTTCAGTCTTAATAACTAAGCTGCTAAACTAATGCAAGTAATTAACTTTGAGTCAGCGTTAAAATAGCGATATTACTTACTACTCGAACGATTACATACGTGAGTGTTGGGGTTACACGTCGTAGCAAGTTGAATGTTATAGTTTTTCACTGGATATTTTGCGTTTTGATTTGACTATTTGTTTAAACTGTGAACCAATGAAGTTTATTAACTATCTCATTATTATTGGATTCATGTATGATTTTCCGTTTTTTAGAAAAACACAAAATATTCAGACTCCCCTAATCTTTTTAAGGGAAGATAAGCATTTAGTGCGAATCTACTTTAACCGTGTGAACATTAGTATTATTTGACTATGCCACATAAAGCATACTCGCATTTACTAAGATAACTTAAACATTCAAAAATAAAAGCCTAATGTAAAGTAATGATATAGAACAGACCTTGAAATGTATGTGTTTATTTTTTTTTTTTAGGTATGCAGGTACTCTTGTTTTTAATAGGTACTTTTTTTAAGTCCTTCTTTACCGTCACAATCCTTATGCTCGTTCCCGTACGAATCCTTTCTCATTTGGGCGACATTTTCCTTGAACCTTAAATCTCCAACGCAGTGCCTAGTATAATACTATAAATAATTCCAACTCGCCAATGTAGGGCACACTTGTTATGCCACACAGCTATAATTTGTACAAACGCACTGTCACACGCGAAATTTATTAATGTACCTGGGCAAAGACGTCTCCTTGTGGTCGTTTGTGATGAGGAAAGAGGGTCGCTCGGTCCGCATATCATTCATTCTTCGGATGAATTAATAAAACGTATTTTATTAAGGGTGGTATTTTCTCTCAAGCGACTAATCCTTCCAGGTTACTATGAAATAGATCATTTAATATCTGACAGACGGAAATTTGAGTATTTTTTAAGAGTTACTATCCCTAAAAAGTTACGATGGTTTTTGAGATAAAGCACTTCGAACTGAACTACACAATTAATTTTTATTGTTATTGTGATAATTTTTTTTAACATCTTTATTTTTTCTTTTAGGTAAGCTTTCACCGTCCTTGCCATGCTTTACAAAATTATTAAGGATAAATATTTGTAATTAATACGTTTGTTTTCGTGTTTACCATAACAAAATATCAGTATATCTCTTTTCAATTATACAAGGTATTCCAAAAGTCTTAAAAGGTGACAATCTGAATTTTATAGGTAAACATACATAACTGCTTTAGAATACAACCGAGCGGCATGGCCTAGAGGTCTAGACCATTGCTTAGCATTCGGGAGAACGCCGGTTCGATTCCGGGTCCGTCTGCCTTGGTCCAAGTTTTTCTGTGGTTTCCTTGGATCACTTAGGCAAATGCTGAGGCAGTAATATTCCACAGATAATCTTTCA